GTTCTGACAGTTCAGTTGTTTTTGAGAGTTGTGGTTTGTGTTGATGTCCGCAGGTGATGAAGAAGAGTGTGATTGGACCAGACTTTGAAAAGAAGGATGCTGTACCACCATACAGTGAATCCAAACATGCCCTAAAGCTAAAACGCAGAGTAAGTTTGAAAAAAAAAAAATTGCTTTGATTGGTCGATTCTAGTTTTATTCTCTGCATTTGTGCAGTCACCTGTGACACATACCTAAAAGAGTAAACGGTAGTCATCACAAATGTTGTTTCTTAGCAGTCTGCATCACTTTTCTTTCCCCAGGCAGAGAGGGAGAAGTCAACAGGGGATGGTTGGTTTAACATGAAGGCCCCGGAGATCACTCAGGAGCTGAAAGGAGACCTCCAAGTGCTGAAGATGAGAGCATCCTTGGATCCTAAGAGGTTCTACAAGAAGAACGACAGAGATGGCTTTCCCAAATACTTTCAGGTCGGTGGAACTGTCCTCCTGCTTCTCAGTTCTTTACACTTGTGGTTATCAATATTGATTTTGTAAAAGTTGGTTAACTTTGTTTTTATAGTCCAGAGCACTCAGGGAATACACTATCAATATCAGTGCGTGTGCTGAGTGTGATGTTTTCCTGTGTGTGTGTGTTGCAGGTTGGTACAGTGGTGGACAACGCTGCTGACTTCTATCATTCCCGTATCCCTAAGAAGGAGAGGAAGAGAACCATTGTGGAGGAGCTGCTCGCTGATGCAGAGTTCAGACAGTAAGTGGGCACCTGCAGTGGGTGTGGTTTTATTATGAGACATCTCCCCTTCCACCCTCTACCTCCGCCGGGCATGTAGACTTGGAAATACTCACTCAAAAATTAATAGAAATTATATTTTTTTCAGTCACTTTAAATTATATATGGTTAAGAGCATAAAAGGAACCACAATGCCACCACTATGTCAGCCGACAAATGATTGTAGACATTTAGTTTGTGCTTCCTCCTCAGGTGTAGTTGGAAAAGTAAAATTTAACCCTCTCGAGGCAGGCGTTGCGGATTTGCAACAGTTAAAAACTAACAACCTGATTACCCCACATACATATTTTATGAGTTTTTTTTTCTCAGAAGTACCACTGCAGGACTTGGTTGTGCATTAGCAACTAAAACTTAATTTGAGCCTGAGAGGGTTAAAAGGGTTTGTTCGTGTGGGTCTGCATTCACATCACGGTAGTCTTAACCACTTGAGCTAACGGCAACTAGACTTCTTTTTAAGTTTCTAGATGTTTCACGTCATCCAAAAGGCTCTTCGCTTCTGACAGGTGATGAAATATTTCACTTCTAGTGAGGTTGTCATGTTCCGGATAGTCCTGAGTCGTTAACCCACCCCGTCGTCATCTGAGTCGTTAGTCACACGATGAGACAGCATGTGAATTTTTGAGGAGCAAAGGTCATTTACATCCGCCTGGAACAACCATCGCTGAACTAATGTGAGGCCTAAGCTACGTGTAACGCAGTATTGAGATCCCTTCCCAGGCAATTTAACTCCCACTCACACCTTGACCTACCTGAATGACACATGATGTCAGGGTGGGGCAGTGTCCACCTTCAAGGGAACCACACTACCAGTTAAATACGTAG